GTGGCACCAAGGCAACGTTCCTTGGACTCAACTAGTCCACACCCCGGGTAATGCCGCGCATGTAAGTACCATCTATCTTCTCCGGACAACAGACAGATACCTGAGCGCCTAGGTCTGGGCATGTCTTCAGGGTTTCGCCACCTGGTGGGCGTGCCAAGCAAATGCGCAAGAGTGTGACCACGTGGAACCTCCTGGCCTTGATGGGCGATGCGGATGAGGACACCTGCTGTCAATTTGAGGTCCTCCCCTGGTGTATGTGGATGACCTGCGAGGCCTACATACATGTCGTAACCCTGTATCCCTCGAGGCAGAAGTGCACGGACATAACGCTCCCATGCTGGATAAGCTAGCATCCTTGGCAAGGCTGCAGCAAAACGGTGGCCGCCTACTTCAGAAATATCCACCACTGTCGCAACATTATCATTCGCCTCAAGCATCCAAGGACTAGCAATGAGGGCGGCGAAACCAGGTTCTGGCAGAGGGTGAACACACACCAGAGATGGCATCTGCCCTATCGGAAGTCGAAGGTCGGCTCCCTTAACCCGCTGGCAAAGACACTCGGCAGAGTCACCTTCACTCATATGCACAGCAACAAAGTCTGTTTGGTAGTGTGGAGCATAGACCATGACTCCAATCACTAAGTCACACCCCTCTGCATCGGAGGACTCATTTTCATCTAGACTTCTCTCGACGATGTTTGCTGCTCTACCTGTGTAAAGGACCCGGCGCCTGCGCCACGCCTCTGGTTCTGCCTCCTCTGCTTCCAGAACTTCACGCACGGGATCTCCTGCTCCGCTAGCACTGCCTGAAGGCTGCTCTGATTCCTCATCAGACCCTGTTGGGGCTGGGGGCGTACTACCCGAGCGCTCGTAATCAGAAGCAATTCTGGCTGCATACAGGAGGAGTGTTGAATGGCCTCCTATGAAAACCTCGTCACCCTCACAACGACCCCCTATGGCGGCTAGGCGATACATTTTGGGCAACTGAACGTCCAATTTTGCTGCCACACTTGGGAGGTGCAGCACAGGATGATGACTGTGCACCACTGTTGGCTCAACTCCTACAGCACGGCCGTCACAGAGTGTAAAGAAATCTCGTCTGCTGAGCTGGACAGAGTTGAGGTGAGGCCAGGGCAACTCAATGATATAATAAACAAGATCAATGGCAAAACCCTTATGGTCAAGATTGGTAAAAGGGAAGCTGCAGGTAGTGACCTCATGCAGACTGAGGCGGTGGCGCCTCAAGGCAGCAACAGCTAAACCCTCTCCGTCTTGATGATGCGGGGCCATAAACAGTCGTTGACCTTCGAAGATCGTTAAGGTACCCCGGATCTGGTCCGGTCGCAGCAGGTCTCTGATCGGAGCCCAGGGAGTGGACCCATCAAAGAGATCGACAGCAAAGGCTCGGTAAAGCTGAATATCCTTGTGCCACGAAGCTGTCACAACAGCCCCGTCCCAGAAGACTATGTCTTTTCCGCGCTCGCAAGGCACTGTGCGATTGCCTAGAAAATAGAACAGCTCTCGGTCACCATATGCTGTATGCACAAATACACTCTCTTCAAAGTCCCAATAGTGCATTGTGCGCGGGACATAGGCAGCAAAGTAATTGCCACCCACTCGGGTCAAGTCAATGATGATGGCCGCTTTGTCGGCACCACCGCTTCCCCTGACCACTGCCGGAAGTTGCATGAAGCTACCGCATCCTTCAAACCTTGGTGGTGTAATAGGTACCACTGAGTTGAAGAGCTCATGCGGGACACCTCCTATGTTTTCGCGAATCGCATCCATGACAGCATGGATACCCCCTTCATGTTGCACACGGACTGCAGCAACCCTGGGCCTGAAGTACGGGGTGTAGATATAGACCCCTAGCCAATCCCCACTCAAATCAGGGCATGGGCTGCTGGCATCATCGAAAAGTGTGAGCACGTCCCGGGATGCTTGGGCTGCTTCGCTGGACCAGGGAGAATGAACACGACTGCTCCCTGAATATGTTGCCTCGAGGGGGGAAGGTTGTCTATCGAAGCTCCCACCTGCAATATGGGGAGGGATTTCCTCAAACGGCCTCGCCATGCCATCTGCAGTGCAAAAACTCCCAACCCCTAATAACCAAAGAGAACGGGCAGCAGTGGTCCCGGCCGGGCTTGCAAAGGCCTGTGGCACACTACGCAACCCAAATAAACCGGCAAAAATTTCGATAACCCGGACAAGGAAAGCCGGGCTTCCGATCACACTCCTTCTGGGACGCGTGATGGGGTTCTTAGAAGGGCCTCCCGGGACTGACCACTGCAAAACTGGCATCGAACTGCCTACACTGCTGAGGGGCTTCAAGAAGCCAACTGGCATCCAAGCACACTGCAGTGTAACAATCTGACCTAGAGGGGACTGATGCCCTTTCAACCCCCTCACACATAGCCGCGTCAACCCTAATAGGATAACACCTCCAAGGGTAAGGAAAAAAGCGGCCCATAGCTCGCCCAAGAGAAATAGGGCGCAACACAATGATGAGGCTAAAAAGCCCCCTCCTTTGCTTGCCGTCGCTATGGCGAGTGCCCCTGAGCCACCGATGCACTTCTTAGGCGCCATGCGAGGAAAAAGTTCTGCAAAATCGCAGCCGAGAACTGACTGGCCGCTTATAGGATTGGCTCTCCCGCAGCCTTGAAAGTTGGCGCAGGGAGGCAGGCGGGAAAAACCCGGATTCCATAGCGAAATCTCATGTCTGGAGTATGAGGTCATCGACATGGATTTGCTCACGAGTATCTCGTACTCAATTACTGCGGCTGCACCCGAAATATAGGAAACCATCTGCACAGGGTGGAAGCTCAAGGCTATAGGCACAGCCCAGCATGAATCACCTTGGCATGGGAGCAGCAAACGGAAAAGTCTGTACACCTGAACCCTTATGTACAGACAAAGCTACAGCCGGCTCAGGTCGAGGGAAGCCACAAAGATCAACCTTTCCCGGACCTCTCCACAGGGTCATTTGACCGACAGTCACGGAAGGGACTGGCAGCCATGACACGAGGGAGAGGACACGGCATCGGGATCCCGTAGCTGCACCAGCTATACATCTCCAGGGTTGGCCGAGGTACCCGAAGGCGCAGCTTCTGGCCCCTCCGGCACCGTCTCTTCGGTTCGTGTTTTTGGGTGATGAGGAGGTCGCAGGGCACTGGGATTGTCCGTGGGAGCAGGGGTGCCAGGATGGAACCCTGGTGGGATCCCGAAAGGGTGAATGGCTCGACGGTGGTCCAGCTTTTCTCCCAATGGCAATCCGCCACTGTTCACAATGACTGCCGGCCTCTGCATCTTGATAGGCGTTCTTTTGGGACCAGGGGAAAGAAGCCCCGGGGCCCTTCCTGATCCCACTCCAGCAGCTGGAGAGGTAATATATGGGTCTCGTGTAGCTGCTCCTCCGTAAGCACTGCCAGCATTCGTGTCGCTCGGAACACTGAAGCCAGGGGGAGCAGGACCAAATCCGAATTGCCGAGCAAACTCTGCCTGCGAAATCTCCCTCGAAGGCGAAGGGTCTTCCACATCTACCATTGGCGCACCCTCCTCCGAGGGATGTGCAGCAAAAGCAGAATCCATCGGACCAGGGGCAACTCCTCCTGGTGGGGCCGTTGTGGCCTCGGGATTTCCTGTGCTCCATGCCGGTGTCTCCATCGTCGGGCCGCGGACACCATGGCCTCCTGGGTTGCCCGCACTGAGACCAGGCGGGTTCATCGACGGGCCGGGCATAAGGCCCGACATATCCATACCCGCGAATTGGCTTCTGGCCACTGCTGCATAAACATCTCGGAGCAAGTCCGAGTCTGGCGGTGCTTCCCCAGTGTTGCCATAGAGCTTGCCAGGCGTCGTCTGCTTGCAAAATCTCGGTCTGCCTCGGCGGGGCTCCACCCACAATCAAGGCTTTGACCTGTGCGGCTGCAAGATGTCCGGCCTCCATGGCTACTTGATGTTCCATGTCTAACCTTGCCATATCTTGCTCGTATGCTTTCTGCTGTCTGGCAAATCGCTTCTTTGTTTCCTCTTGAAACTTGGCGAATTGCTTTCGCCGAAGCTCTTTCTCCTCGGCAATCTTCCTTAGCCTCGTATCGTGCTTCTTCACGGTATTGAATGTCTTCTGCATTGCCTGCAGGAGACCGGATCCACCTCTGACCCCTTGGCCATCCGCTGGTGCCGGGGCTTCGCTCACATCGGTTTGATCGTATCTCTCCTCCCATGTCCGCGTTCTCGGCGACCAAGCTCCATGCCAAATATTCCACTTCTGGTCTGCACCCCATGGTGCATCCGATGACCAGGATGAGCCCGGCTGCTGCTTGCCACGCCCCCATTGTCTCTTGCCTCCCATCTGATGCCGCACCTTCAGTGGTAGATCTGTTCCTTGTACCTTGGCCTTGAATGGTGCTTGGCCAATGAGAGAAGCAGATTCAAAGGTGGTCGCACGCCACGGTGGCGGGCAGACTGTATCACTCGCCTGGCAGCTGCACGACGGCGGCGCCGGTTTCTATGCCAGGTGGGAGAGCGGACTGGACGCGCCGTATTTAGACAGCACTTGGGCTTCTAACGGCAATACCCCACACACGGGGGTTCGATCCGGAAACCCTATACATACATACATACATACATACATATACATACATACATACATACATACATACATATGTATGTATGTATGTATGTACAGATACACACAGGCATTATATCCCTGGCCACCTAGAAGTTAAGTCTGGTGCATGTATGTCTGCCTGCCTGGCTGCCTGGCTGCCTGGCTGCCTGGCTGGCTGGCTGTCTGTCTGTCGGTCTGTCTGTCTTTCTGTCGCTGCACATCACTGTCACATAACACAGATGTGGACACAAAGGTTAAACCTGGAAACATGCCGATACACAGACAGGCACAAACTACATAAACGCATGTGCGTGCCTTTGTGTTTGAGCCACGGCAGATTACCTTAAGGTGCCCTTGAATTCCAAGTTGCATGTGGGAGCGAGCATGAGCAGGCAGATGCCCAGCAACGAGAGGCCGCTGTTGACCCGTCGCTGACTGTTTTTTGCGATGCTTCTTATGTTTCTTGTCGAACCGTGGGCGTGGGCAACTCCGGTGCCGTTTCAACATGCCTGTGTCCGGGGTGGCGCGCGAGGTTGTTGCAGGCAGAGCGCATTTGGCGACCAATTGTGCACCTGGAAGGCGAACTTGGAGCGCGAGCTGATGCTGCAACTCGAGGTTCGGTGCTGCACCGGTGCTTCCAGCGTCTTTTAGCGTCCGGTGGAGGGAGCTGCAGAGATGGGCAGCATGGCAAAGATGGCACAGGGAGGCACCTTACGAGGCAGCACCACGAACGCCTCATCCGAACCCATAGAACCGGAGCGCACTGTACAAGGCCTCGCAACGATCACCTCGCCCGAACTCACGGGAACCGGAGTGCAGCCGGCAACCTCGCTGACCGAGAGTCGAGAGACAAGAACACCGAAAAACAGAGACGTTTGCACCGAGACTTGAGCCATGCTGTTTGCTCCACTTGCACAATTGCTGCTACGTCCCGAGAGTCACCGCTTTTTAGTTGTGCTCGCGTCAGCTGCGAGTCTGCCAGCAAGGAGGCGACGGCCACGATTCGTCGCCTTGAGGCCGGGCCGTGCACTGCCGAAAGGCGGAGAGAGTCTCCTCGCTTGTCGTTTTCGGCAGGGGGAGCTCCGGTCCTCGGAGCGACGACATCGCGTCCTTTCCGAGGCTCCCCTCTCTCTCCTTCGTATGAAAAGTGGGGTGCGAAAGGTGTGTGTTCGCTGCATCCGCGTGCGGAAACTCCCAGGAGATCGCTTCCCTGCAGCGCCTGCTTGACGAAGCCGAGCTGCAGCAGCGCAAGGCCGGACAAAGGGGGGGGGCCTTGCTTCTTCGCCCCCCTGTGAGCAGCGGCACGGAGCACAGCGCCCGAGGCGCGGCAGCAGCGCGCGGCCCGCTCGGAGCGCCTCGCCGCGGGTCGGAGTGAGCTGGGAGCGAAGGCGCTCAAGCGGAAACTCGTGGCTCGTGCCGTGAGCTGTGGAGTCAGAGGCTGTTGCATGGGCGCTATGGCTCCGAGCGTTAGCGCTGCTGCGGTGCGAAAGGCATGAACTCCAGGCGTGCATGACATGTTGGTTAACTGGTCGGCAGCAATTCGGGCACGGAGTTCGGCTTTCAGAAGCATAAGACTTAAGAGTCATGCTCGGGTGTGCAATGGAATGTGGGAAGAACTGGGGTGTTGTTTCTTGCAATCAGCGTATCATGGTGTCCCGCCGTAATGCGAAATCTGGCCCTGCGCTTGCAGGTGATGGAGCATGAGCTGGCCCTGAAGGAGACTTCGAATCACTTTCCCATGGCCTGTGGCCACTGTCCCTCCAATAGGCCTTGTTCTGTGCTGTCATCAGTCATGTTGATACCACGGGAGGACGCGGCCGAACGGCATCGCCTTGAGGTTCAGGACCGGCTTGCTGTGGACGTCTGCAGCCGGATCTGCAGAAAAGACCTCTGAAAGGAGTGGGAGCGCAGGCGCATGGGTTCGGGGCCGGAGTCGGCACTCGAGACGACATGTAAAGAGCTCTGAAGCTTCAACTCGTCTCCGGGTCTTTGATTGTGAAAGAGTAGGATTGCTCTGCTGGAAGCAAGACGTAGCAGCAATCCTCACTTGGAGGTTGTAGGGACCCCTCAGTCACTTCTGGAACGGAAGCGCCTGCGGCAGGCTCCAGGAGCGGCTTGCAGAGATCGAGGCCCACGGACTTCCTCCTCAGCCCCTAAACCTGAAACCCAGAAGACTGACACACACTCGAGCCCTAGCCTTGCACCCCCCAAAAAACCTCAAAACTTTAAACCTCCCCCGGGCCCGGACCTGATGCCCCGAAACTCCAAAAACCGCAGGCCCTGGGGCAGCAGCGCGATCAAGAGCTCCGCGGATCCCAGGATGTCCCTCGCTTAGTCTCAGGGCTTCTTCGGTACCGGAGTTTGAGAGACGGGTTTGGGGTTTAAAAAATTTAAGGCGTTGAGGATTCCAGCTTGTTTGTACTAGGGCCTAGGGTCCGGATGTAGCGGGGTGCAGAAGGGGGAGGTTGGGCTGCTGGCGATTATGATATAAGAGTTTGGGATTTGGGGTTTGGAGTTTGAGGTTTCGCTTGAGAGGAATGGGAGTTTAGAGGGCACCTGGTACCACCAATGTTTGAGGTTTGCTTTCAAATGCTCCCTAGAACCCGTCGTAGGGTATGTCCGGTGAGATGCTAACGGCAGGTCAGACTGCCTGCAGTTGGCTTTCCAACTTCTGACTAGGTCTTTGACCTTGAACTTGCCCGTGTCCACCAAGCTCACGCGGATGACAGAAAGACACGCGAGGCCAGGCCAGACATTTTGTCATGGTGGTCTTGTCATTGGAAGCTGCCCTGGCCGCAGCCCTTTGCAGGAAGAACATCGCTTGCAAGCCGAGAGGCACCAGCTGGCCCTGGAGGCGGGGCACTTTTTTGGCCCCGTCGGACACTTTCGGGAGTTCCCGGAGGGGGTGGTTCAGGGTTACTCTGCGAAGTATTCTGAAGGCTGCACTCCAGCCGGGACAGGGATACTCTGTGGGACCCTCGGGTGGGATACTCTGCAGGGAGAATTTGGGCACGGGCATTCTGGAAATACTTCCGGCCAGAGTTAATTTGGGGATTCTGGGAGAAGAGGACAGGGCCGGGAGAATAACTGCTGTAAAGTCGAAGAACCCCACTCGAGCAGTTTGCCAGGAGCTCCAGCGACAGCAATTTGAGGCCACGCGCTCCTGTGACGTTTCGCGTTTGATTTGGGTCGAGCTGGTTGCTAAAGCAGGCCAAAGCTCGGCAGGCAAAGCAGAAGCTCCTGATGTCCTCACTGGCAGCATTGAACGGACAGCGCGCAGAGGCCGGCTGGTTTGGAAGCCTCACGAGTGGAAGAATCCTCATCCTCATCGTGGCAGGGGCTGCGGAGGGACTACTTCCTGGCTTGGGCACAGTACCTCGTGCACGTGCTGGACTCGGCAATGTTGTGGCCGGAGTTCGCGTCACATCATCTCCACCAACCAGGTCAGGAGGATTCGCAGCGAAGAGTGGAAGGAGCAGGACGAAGCCGTTGGAAATTGGGTTCGGTCCACATTGTCACTGCAAGACAGGAGCTCCAGCGGCTCCAAGCGCAACATGATGCCCTGCACGGGAAGCTCCAGGACAGGAAAGACCGGAGAGTGCTTCGGAGAGCGACACAAGAGGAGACAGATGCCGATGGAGAGGTGATGCGCGGTGATAGTGTAGAAGTTTGGAGCCAGTTGCGCCGCCAGGAGCGGGAAGCTGCGTTCGCCAGGCAAGGGGGACGTGAGAGCTGGCAGTCTTTCGCGGCTTGTTTCGAGTTTCATTTCTGGTTGGCCATCAGGCACCGGACGAACCGGGGCGACCAGGAGGGCCGCAGTGAATTTTTTGGGCTCTGTTCCGCGCCAGCCCAGACATGTTGCGAGGTCGCCACGACAAAGCAGAAGCTCTGGATCAGTCCTTTTGGCTGCAGGAAGAGAGGTTCCAAAAAAACGTCCCGGGGCTTATAGAAGACTTCCCCCCGTGGCTACCACAAGGTCAGGTGCTGGGCGCCTGGCTGCTCGTGGCAGTGGCCATGCGTCTGGCGCGTGCCAGGGAGCTGGAGGCCAGCGAGGCCGGCGAGGGGTTTTGGAGGGGTTAGCCGCAAGCTTCGGGGTCAGGTCGGCCTAAACACGTTCAAAGTGGGCGTGAGGTATACCTTACAACTCTCTTCCTGCAGGGATTCTGGGGGGGGTCTTTTCGAGGCCTGCGCCCGAGAGACTCCGAAGAAGCAATAAGCGAGGCAGAACCATTCGCCAAAGGAAGCGAAACAACAATTGTCGTGCCTAGGCACTTCAAAAAAGGATCAGTCAGCAGTCAGTCTTGATGGCACATGGCTTTACATATCATAATCTGTGCTTTATATGTCCAGAATATACCTTGGATGTAGTAACATGGAAAGAACAAGTTCTGGACGAAGCGAATCTCCACCCCGAAGTCCATAGTCTGCATCAGGGAATCCTAAGCCATAGACTCGATGCTTGCTGGCTGCAACAAAGGGGACAGCGAAGGTCCCAAGAAAGCCATTAATATGATTATGACTGTTATCATTATGATTATCATCATTACTCTTATCATAATAATAATAACAATAATAATAATAATACTAATACTAATACTAATACTAATACTAATACTAATACTAATACTAATACTAATACTAATACTAATACTAATACTAATACTAATAACAATAATAACAATAATAATAATTATACTAATACTAATTATTATTAAGAGTGCCAGGCCGACCGGCTCCGGGCGGAGCTACAGCGTCTGAGTCTCGAGAGCGGCAGGGCGCTGAGGAGCCCGGGGTGACGTTGTCAAAGGCGAGCCCAGGTGTGGCGCTTCATACTTTTAGGGCTTTGGGTTCCGGGCTTACCTTGCCATAAACTGCTGCAGTGTGCAATGAAAATCCCGTGAGGAGTCAAGCCGGCGAAACGCTTGAGCTGCGGCGGCGACAGGCGACTCAAGGAGACAGGATGCGCATGCTCCGTGTTCCGAACTGGCCTTGGAGGCGCTGCTGCTTCAGATCTTGCGTTCCTGGCTCCGAATTGTTTGGCAGCAGCACCTCCAAGTCGCTTGCCCAGTACACGCTATGATGTGCAGCTGTCCGGAATATTAGAATGTCGTTGTTTAGACAGAGACAGTCGTCGGCGATCGCAGGTGATTGCTGATCACTTTGTTAATGACACAGCGAGATGTATGTTCCGCCAAGGCTCGCCAAAGCGAGACAGCTGAAGTCTCGAGGCGCCTTGGTGGCCGGAATTCGCGGAAGGACCTGGAACGATCTTGTTGTGAAGCAGGGTCTCGCGGGGACCACCGGGACTCCACGTGTAAGTCGACCGGATCCCACCGGCAGATCTGTGAAAGTTTTGTATGTTCGCGTGATTTCTTGCCGTGCACATACAACTCAGTCAACGTTAGTTCAGGAGCACGTCAGGTGAATAGGGGGTTGACGATTCGTCCGTTGGCATAGACAGACAAGCTGGGCATCTAAAGACCCACAACACACTGGATAGTTCAATCTGAGTTGAGGTTGAAGGCCATTCTCCCACGCGGGCTTATTCCCATCCATCATGTACAGTCCTTGTGATTCTATTCTAGCGCGATATTGAAATATAAACCGGTCTGCCAGAATTCCTGAAGCCCCGTAGGTGTCTCTCCAGATGGTGCGCAGATGCATCGACGCACGAATGTGCCTGCATGGATTCGGTTCCGGATCCAACCCGATCAGACAAACCAGAACCCGGATGCAACAGATGTGCCTGAACTGCGACATTTTCTATGCTGTAGTTGTCAGAGCTTGAGAAGCAAACAGGTATCTGCCTTCGGCACTGTATCCAGCCGCATCGAACCGGAGCATACTCGTGCTGCTTGCACACTATATTATGATCAACAATGATCCGGTAGGTAAGCCTCTCTGAAGTCCGGATCAGGACCTTCAGACCGACAGGCTTGGGCAGCAGCTCCTTCTCCAGGCAAGCTCCGCCAGAGACTCAGAGTCTGCCTGGCTTCGCCATGCTTCGCCTTGGCTTGCAATTACGGCTCCCGCTCTTTGAAGAGGTGCTGTTGGCAAGTGCTTTCCATGCTTGGTCCACTGCTCAGCTCCGGGGTCACGAGGGAACGGTGGGTCCAGAAAATACCGTGGGGTCCTCGTAGGCCCTGTGTAGCACGGGGAAGCTCCGTCGAGGTCCAAGACGGCCGGGCTCCTGCGACTTGATCGCGCGGCACAGAAAATGATCTCAAAGGCTCTCTGAGCTCCGCTGTGTCCAGTGCTACGGGATTGAAGCAGCAAAGCCTCGAGATGGACTTCCTCCGTCGCTCGGGGCAAAGTCGAAGAGACCAGCTTCTGGGCAAGCTCGCGCCTAAATGGGGCCTTTGCTGAGTGCTCCTCCAAACGAAATCGCTGTCGCACAGCGCTTGAGGTCTGAGTATCTGGGTCAGGTGTGTCTGGCACGTCTGGTGCTGGCAGTCTGGGCCCAGGCCGGCAGATTCGTGGCGAACTGTGACCGCTTGGGATGAGCGTGCTACTGCTGCCGTCCTTGACCTTGCATGTTCTGGTATGGCTCTATGCATCGAGATCCCGGAAGGGCCAATCATGCATGGGTTGGTCCCAAGAGCTAAAGCGGGATCTTCTCCTGATCATCTCATTCCCGAACCCTGCGACCTCAAGCCCGGAAGCACTGCAAGGGCAATCGTCTTTTGTAAGGGTGCCTTACACTTGCAAACGGAACTCTGGCAGCATCGACGCCTCTCTGGCCGTGCTCGAGCCACTGTGCTCACCGGCGAAGAGGATGCGAGGCCAATGCCGACTCTATGCCAATGTTATCGTACTTCGGCTGCAGACGATATGGGCAGGAGGCTGGTACAGGCTGGTGTTCAGCGTTGAGGAGCCAGTAGTGAAGCAGATGATCTGCCGACTCTCGCTTTGCGTCTTTGCGGTTTTCCCCCCTGCACCCAAAACAGAGAAGCTGTTTGAGGCTTTCTGGATCCTGGGCTTGCTGAACAACTTTCTCTGGGTGGTGCTGAACGCTGGAGCAAACGAGATCAACTCCGTTGCTGGCCTTGGTCTGGGGACTGTAGGAGCCGTTTGAAGTGGCATGCCTTCTCTTGGAGGCGTCTATCTTTCCAGTCAGCTTCTCCTTGGTGTCCATGTTGTTGCAAGAGGGTGTGTCACAGCTGGTACAGCTTGCTTTCTAGCCACCGGTGATCTCAAGCTTGAAGAGCTTCGAAGGCTGGTATTGCTCTGGTCTATCTGGCCAACGTGTTGCCGTCCTTGACAATGAAGCTAAGCGGTCCATACTGGTTCCATTATGTCAGTTACAAGCAGCTTGGTGCTGGCAAATTGATTCAGCTGACAACTTTATGTCCGTACGGATGGAGTCGATGGGCCCAAGCGAGGTACAGGATATGGTTGATCGCGCTGCTTATGGTCCTCTGCCTCCTCCAGGCTTCGAGGGCGATTAGCCCGATGACTCCTCAGCCAGAATCCCCTCTAACCCCGCGGGATCCTCTCACAAATGACTGTTCGATGATGTTAAAGTGATGGAGAGTGAGAGGTCGCATGGGGCCAGGGCCCCTATCAGAAGCTGATCGGAGCATCCTGGCCGCAGTTTCTGGCAGAAAGCGGCACTTGGAGCACATCAAGCTGAGGTCGGAATGGCTTCCATGGCTGCCGGTATTGGCGAGGCTGACGCCTTTAGTGCAAGGTTTGGGGGGCCGAACGGTATAACCATGACGAGCCAAATGAGCATGATTTGCCTTTTCGCTGCTCTGCCGTCATGCTCCAGATTCGTCACAGGCTAGCCTTCTGGCGATGGCATCGTTCTACGAAGCCAAGGCTCGGGCACTCAACTCTTGGTTAGTTGAGCAGAGTGCAAGCTGTCGCGTTCAGAGTTTCGAGACAAACAGACACGTGTATGCAGTCAATTAGGGAAAGTCTTCAGCAAGGTGAATGAGACGACTCTTGAACCATCTTGATTTCTCGATTCGGGGAACTCCACTGCGAATCGAAGGACAGGTGTCCGGCATGCCGTATGATGCTGTGGATAGTTCGGTCATGCCGACAAGGTCAGCAGCAGGTATAGAGTCATCATGAAAGTCAGCACCGGAGATAAGCAGCTAGGTGTTGAACCGAGCTGAATCAAGGATGGACGAAACCAACCAATGCCTTCGTGACAATCGAGCTTTGCTGGGCCTCCGTTCTCACGCAATCTTACTCTCCACTTCCTCTCTCTGTCTCTCTCCCTCTCTCTGACTCTCTGTTCCAGCTTCGCTGTGCTCGCGCCAGCCTTGTCTGACTGCATGGTCCTCGGGCACCGGCTTCGCGGGCATTGCCGGCTACGTGGCTTCGGTTGCGTTCGAGCACGGCCGAGATGCTACGTGTATGGTAGGGTACTCAAATCCCGGCCGGCCCGAGGTCTGGAGTCTCCTCTTCGACTACCTCGATCTTTGCTTCCAGGCGGGGGCCGTCTTTGTGCAAAGGCCAGTCTGCCCAGAGACTGGGGTACAGGTGGAGCTTATGGTGGCTCTCTGGCTACCTCTGGCCTTCCTGCTGGCCTTCCACTGCCTTCTCGGACCTCCCTGGATCGACGAGGTGCCCTTTTGCCAGCGCCAGCGGCAAATTGCTAGAAATCCTGCGACCTTCGCTGTTCAGGAGCGAGGCGCTCGTCTGGAACCTCGGCGTAAAGATTGCGCATACCTCCCATCAAGTGTCTTGCTTCGGACGGTTCTTGGGCGGTAGCGAAGGATTGTGCTGCCGACAGCGCCGACTCCAACAGTGAAGAGCTGGAAAGCGAAGAGACAGTGGCTTGCTCCTCAGACCACCGGTGTCTCAGCACGCGCCAGAAGGACCTTTCTATCGATAGGTTCTGTGAAGACAAGACGTCTTGCTCAGTAGCGGGTTTCCAAGCTGCACAGCTTTGGTCAGCTCTTCTGTGTACGCATTGTGGCCATCCAGGGCAATAGAGCTTCGCTGAAACGAGCAAGTTTGTGCGGAAAGTCTAGGTGCCTCTACCGGCTGGACCCCCCGACAAACCAAACAACACGGCCCAGTCCGTAATGGAGCACCACGCCTCCGAGCTGGCGACCGCAAAGCTCTCATTCCAGGCTGCAGCATTTTGCAACGGAAGGTCGAGGTTTGCGAGACTTGACAAAGTGCTGAGCGAAATCTGAGTTCATCTTTAACGGGAGGTTCGGGCATGGTTGGTTTGGGGTGCGTTTCTTGGCGTATGCGCACCCGCATGTGCATCCATCTCCTCTCCCCACCCCGCATCCAGCTCCCCTGAAGTGTCGCGAAGACTTGAACATGCACAGGAGAGGTTCGGCTACATCCTTTCGCTGTGGCCGCAACCAGATGCAGACTATCACGAGGGTGTTTGGTGGCAGAGTGGAGCGGTTTTGCCACCACAGTGTGGGCCAAAAGTGCTGCCATGAGTCTTTTCGACATTGTTGCTTGATGCCAGCCTAAGGTACACGGTGCCGCTCTTCTTTGTCTATGCAGCTGAATACACGTGCCCTTGGCGGAAGTATGTTGCCGGTAAGACTATGTCATGCCCAAGCCCGAGAAGCAAGGATCCAATCCGGATTCTGGGCTGCCATGGGATTCCCGGTGACAGATCCCACATCTCGGCACCATTTCTACAAGTACCTCGGCAACTTCTGGCATACGCAAGACTCTTGCGGCAAGAGGCGACGGGTCAGGCTATCGCGGGCGGTTGCGGTTGCAGGTGGTCCAATTTCATGTACCAGATTGGCGTCTTCATTTCCAGGCTCTGCTGCGGACCCTTTTTTTGCAATAGCCGGGGCATCCAGTCCCCGAATCCCGTGCTTTTTGAGCCATCTGAAAAAGCCTGAGAAGAGCTAGGGACCAATTGGGGCACAGCGAGGTACAGCTCGGATTTGCCACAAGTCAGGGATGGTGGTAATCATGGCATTCGCAGTGCTGGTTCTGAGAAGAGTTTCTGAATCAGAAATGAGTACATACAGACCTTTATACATACAATATATATATATATATGTATTATATAGATATGTAGGTATATGGTTTTTATACAGACTTACTTTTGCTGATGTATTCCATACATGTTTGCGGTGGACTTCGGCCTCCTGGGAGAGGGAGCCCTTCTGAGCAGGTCGGCTTTTATCCTGATCTGCCGCAACCGCAAAGTGCTGTGGTGCGGCGGATTTCTGCAGGCGCAAAGTCTCCAATCTCAATCTCGCCCCGTTTGCGAACGGCGCATTTTTGTTACGACATGCTTGCGCTTTCTGTGAGCAGGTTGTGATGGCCCTCTTCTTTGCTGCAGCGGCGTGGTCGCCGACTCGGCTGTGTAAGCGATCGGACAGCCCTAAACCCAAATCGTAAACCCTGTTTTGCAATGCTGTGCAAACCTGCGTTGGTCTGTGCCGGTGGCTTGCAAAGAGCTTCTGATCAGACGCCAAAGAGGAGCTGGCCCAGTCAATCAGTGGCCGCCTGTATCAGATCAGCAAGACCCACAAGCTGTCAGCTGTTTCAGGCAACCCTTTGGCGACTGGTGGCTGTTGGCCCCGGCCAGTGGGTGGGAGGGAGCCTTCCTTAGTCCTTGCCTCATGTAGACTTCAGGCTTCACGGGTGCTTGCACCGTGAACGCTTCCTATGATGAGGGGTTGACTGGAACTCACGCATGTCGGCATTGGTCCCGAAGCCCCGCGCAAGGAGCAGAGTAGTTACAGCAAGCGGGATTCTGTTCCTTCCCTTTTGTGTTGAAGCTCAGTCAAAAGCCTGCCTTATCAGCTTATCGAAGTCCGAAGCCGTTTTGGGCTGCGAGGCCTTCTTCGTTGGGTGCTTGGGAGGCGGCGTCTATGTTGGCGCCTTCACGCTCATTGCTCAGGCCGGGTTTTTCATCAGCGCAGCTGCTGCGTTCTGAACTTCTTCCTTGTCATGTGGAGCGACACAGCCTCCAGCCGTGCAGGAGCAGCCTGCGTCATTCGTGGAGCTTGCGCTGTCTGCGGCATCGGTTGCTGACACCTTCGGCATGACCCTCCTCTGCAGTGATTTGCATTTTTGAGCCCCAAGCACCCAGAGTCTTCTGCTGTTCGGGCATCTGCAGCGTTCCTTCGCGCAGCCCAGCAAGGTTCCAGGTGTCATGCGCGAGCTGAGGATTGCCGCAAACATCATGGGCCTGCTGATCCAGGGCTGTGTCTTCGGACACTTGCAGGCGTGGCGACGAGCCAGTTTACTCGATGTTTGCTGAGTTGGCTGTGAAGACTTGCCGGGTCAGGTCGTAGATGATGTGCCCAACTTCAAGTGTGGCTACGACATCTGGGACTCGGTGAACAAAACCCTTCAGGAGAAGACCTACCACGCGCATCTTGGTGGCTGACAGCTTTGTGCAAGCAGACGGCTGCAGCTGGAGTTCTCCCATTTCCAGCAGCATCTGAAAGTTCGTCACCCTCCTGGATTTTTTTCTAGACACTGGGGTCTGACATCTGAGGCATTGCTTCCCAGGTATCAAAGGCTGAGACCATTGGATGAGAGCCGGTGC